TTATTATTTTGTCCCGGAGAGATAATTATCAGTTACTGGTTAAAAAAAAACTGACCTGGTTACCTGAGATGATTTAATTCTTATATATCAAGATATTATATTGATGTTCTGAGTTTAGTTTGTCACAGGTGGTGAAGTTATTTTAAAAAGTTTACCCTTAACCCAATGAAGCTTTAAAAAGTACAACTCTCTTAAGGCTTTATGACACCAGCTTCTCAACTATATCAATTAACATTCCATGCTTTGAACTTTGACCTGGTTTTGTTTGACAAATCTGAGGCTTAAAATGAAAGCATCTTATTTACTATACTGCAAAACAATTTCATTTAAAATTTTGGCAAGTCAGGAAAAATGACAAAATGAAGTAGTAGTGAACAGTCATTTAATTATTATCCTTAAGACAGTGATCCAGTGACTTTCTCAATAATTTTTTTCTCATGAATGCCCGCAAATTGAAAAAATTAATAACTGATAATTAAAAGCGCAGTGATCGTCACACAGCGAGTGTTCGAATTTCATGTAAATAAACAATGTATTTTACATGCGTTGTATACGTCGCTATGAGTCCCATATCGAACAGGACTCGGCGCGCCGACTGTCCGCCTTTTAAACCGTTTATATTATACAGCTGAATTTGAATTTGTCAAAACCGCATTTGTTCCTATAAGAAGCGCATCTCTAATAGAAGAGCACATAAACTGAAACTTGCATTTATTGTATACTAGATATTTTGATCAGAATCCAAACTGCTTTTTCCATCCATCTGTATACCAGTGTAGATTTCCTTATTTTCACTTGGAATCTTGTTTTGAAAATAATATTGCAGTTTGTTTTCAACACAAACAATCAAACTTGTCAACCAAATTTGCAGTTTCAGTGAATATAAATTACATCGAAAATAAAGTACTGGTTGTTGAGAGTGATCAATCATTGAAACCATCAATTATCTTAATAACTTAAGCTCAGCTCCAAGAATTCAGATAACTGAGATTGAACTATTTACCAACAAAACACTTGCTGCCAGGGTTAAACTAATACATATAATTTCAAATGATGTTTGAAACATCAGTTTAATACCTTTATAAGTCCCGTCTTTTGGTTTTTGATTGTCGCACATGTCAGTTGAACTGCATACATTTTAATGTTTTTGTGGGAATTTAAAAAAAATGGGAAAAAAATGAAATTGTTCAATAAAAATAAATACTCAATTGTAATGAAAAATTCAAAATAAAAAATGTGTGGAAAACAAATTGCAGTATTTTCTTTGTTTTCTCGGCCTGAACTGAGTTCCTCTGTAAACTCAGTCCCTTTGATGTTCAGTTTATACAGGTTTCATAGTGTAAAGAAATCTCTATAAACTGAACACCTCTGTAAACATAGGTTTTTTCAGTTCCTTTGATATTCAGTTTAGACAAGTGTCATTTAGGCTGAACAGGTAAAAAAATAAAATCTAATAATATTATAAAATGTTTTTTGCTAAAATGGCAACCTTTGGCAGTAGGAATAGAAATGTTTCTCTCCCAGTAGCTTTGTGCACATTAGTTGAATTCCTGCATAAGGGTGAAATAGTGATGACGATGACCACCAGTACGGTAATAGTCCTTGAGAAGGCAATGGTATTCAAGTGTCTTGTAGCTTTATCTCTAAATGTTCCTGGCTATCATGTGCTCTACTGGATTTATGTTGGTAATCGAATTGCAATTTTGCTGTGATAAGATTGGCTAATGCTATATGGGTTGGAAAAGTTCATCTGATAATAAGCCTTAAGATTTTAGTGCAGTCTGTGCAGGACTGTGTCGTTAACTTTTCCTTCGTAACTGACTCTCTTTTTCTCTGTCTTACAGAATTGACTGATGCCAAGAAGAAACAGATAAAGGAACCTGTAAAAAAGTGAGTGTTTATTTTCATGGTTGTATTGCTGAGAGTTTAGAGAGAAAAAAAATACATGAAGTTGAATAGAGAAAGGATGTTTTGATCTTGACAAATTTCAGCAGACATTTTATAATAGTAAATTGCACATCCTTCTTTATGGGTGTTGACTTGATTGGTATGAAACAGCTCTATCTTGTAATTTTTTGTTCCAATTTTTTTTTTTTCCTACAGGACAACATCTGTTCCTGTGAAGAAAGAACCACCCAAGTCGATACCAGCAAAACCCAAGGACAAA